TTACACAATCGATTGAAAAGTCTTCCAGCGATCATATTACCAAATCTCCTCGTGCATTGATTCCATAAAGATTCGGTTCATCTGTTTGAGATTTTTACATTCCCCGGTTGGCTGCCCAAGTTGGTTTTATGTTTTATGGTTTATGGTTTTATGTAACAATTTTGGTTTTATGAGGGTTCTGTTGACCATGATTTAGACTTGTAGAATGCTTTAAAACCATGATAAAACTAGCAATGTTACTTGGGTGTACAGAGGACGTAAGAAATGTGTGCTTGTTTTTTTTTTATTTTGCCATTTGTTGTGGGTGTTAAATTATTTTACAAATTCGTACAATGAAGGGTTGAATCATCCCGTAAAAATGCTGACGTAATTATTACAAGTCGCATCGTCGCGTCGCATAAGTAACACATAGAGCCTTTTTTTACTCGGCATAACATTCATTCTTCACAAAACTATTGCGAGACCAGATGTTATCATTTCTAAGTGGTTCATGCTTTGGTTAGCCAAAAACATGTGCTGAATATGTTGGCTGCCATTTTCCGCTTTTTTCCATTGATTCTGGTTTTACCATGTGTAATAGAGAGTCAGTATGTTACACAGAAGATATTATATCCTGTGAAAAAAGTGGACGGAAGACCCTGTCCTTTGTATGGTGATGAACTCAACGGTCTGACCACCGCATTCGACCAACCCGGTAGGGAAGCAACCTTTGATTATCCATCCAAGGGTGAAGAACGGAGATAAAAGAGGTAAAGGTTGCTTGCCATGAAAGTGTGTACAAGCTCATCAATTTCTACTTTGTTGTCGATCAAAGCAACTTTTACTCGTACCGTCTTGGAACACACTTCGTGTGTAACTGTGACCGTTTGGATTTTCACTTCGAACATCGGGGACCCCACAGGTGCTACACAACAAGGCTAAATGTGTGCCCTTATCGTTGTGTGTGCATTATATATTAATGCAGGATCTTTTTTTTATCATACGTAATCATAGACTTTAGTAAGAAAAGATGGCTTCGTCTCAAGATTGTGTTTTTTTTTTGCCATGTGTAAGACGCTATATTTATCATGTTTTGGATGAAGCCAAAGGTGAGCTAGAAGGATGGCAGGATTTGAGACATACTTGAGCGGATTATCTAGCAAGCAGATGACCGAACCAGAGTATGGGTGTATGCTTTTCATGTCCTCTAGACTCTAGAGATTTATCTATATGATTTTTTCCTCGTCTGTTAAGCTCAACAACACTACTCATATGCTCACTTGATATGGCAGACATTGCTAGATTTGTGCTTAAATGAGGACTATCTCATGTAGATAAATACACTCATCACACTAGTTTATTTGACTCACTGGAAAGATGTTAACCGAAATTTGTGGCCTGACACTTCGAATATTCAGTAGAGCAAATGTGTGAATTTCTAGTACGACTTCAGTGTGATGTGTTTCAAGCTCAATTTGTTTATGCTTACGACTGCCAGGCTTCCTATTTTCTTATACTTTTTCAGCCTTACTACGCTCTTTCTGAAACTTATGCTTACTCTTTACCGATTGTATGATAAATCTAAAGAAGGCCTTGTGCTGTGCAGCCTAGCCAGTAAATACGTGCAGTTTAGCTTGCGAATTATACTCATTGTAGTTGTATTATTCAACAAATTTAAGTTGCCCGACGAACACATTCAAAATCGTTCCCAATAGAGCACGTGCGTTTTCACATCCTATTACCCTTGATGTAAGGAAAATTCCTCACCTATCTTCTAGAATCCAGACAGACTACCTGTGTGGATCCTTTTTCGAGGGCCCGGTTTCTCTACAAAGTTGCAAAGTGGGAATAGACTTGTTAGCGATATGAATATTACTTAATGCGAGCAGCAAGCATGAATAATTTATTAAGCCCTAATGAAAGAAAATTGCATGTACATACATTTAGCTCATTTCCTCTGGTTTTCTTATCCTTGCGTGCATATGTGTTTGTGTGTCTTCCGGTAAAGTAAAGATACTGCTCTGTGGAAGGTATTGCTCAAGGATCACATGCCAGCAATAACAACGTAACGAACGGTACCAATCCGGGATGGAAGCCAGCCAGCGGCATAATAGCACTCGAAAATGAAGCAGAATCGAACAGACATTAATTATAAACTTGTATCGACGGAAAGTGCTGGTGCGAAGCTGGAACGGTAGATAGTTAGAACATGATGCTCAACGCGTTCCCCAAGCGGAGATTTTTCCTTCTCCCTTCTGCTGTTACTTGAGGCACTGCGATGGAATTTACCACCGTTTGTCTGCTTCATCAACAGCTGAATCCACATCTCGATGGCATCGGTCGCCGTGAAGAGAAAAGTTACGAATTTCATCACCAATTTAACACCATTGATAAATAATTCAATGGAACATCGATCTTTTTGTCGAAGCCGGTCTTTCTCAGGCATACCATCCCTTTCTTTTCATTTGTCGTCGCATCCTGGTGTCAAATCCTGCACACCTACTGACCGAACTCATTAATATTTAGATTTATTCATCTTCCTTCAGACGATTGTTGCCCAGGGTTATAGAGTTATCCGTTTTCATGAATAAAAGATTTGCACATTTGAGATTCTTAGCACTCAACTTTCACAGCGTCTTTCTCGTTATCATCTAGGCCAATGCTGGAGACTTCGAAGTTAAAAACTAGTATGAAGATGTACTTCTTGTACTGCTCTCTCATCGAGTCAAATGAAACCGAATGTTTGAGGATGAAGTTTCTTTCAAAACCAATGAGCATATTACATGCTAGCCGGCGGTCAAATTGATTTGCAATTTGATCAATACTTGACTAACATTTGAAAGGGACGGAAGAGCCAAAACATATTTTTCCAAATATAGAGACAACAGTTCACGAACTACTCGATAAACACGAAAAAGTAAGAGGAAATATCATTTCAAATCGTCAAAAAACGTTTCCTTTTACATGGCGTATTTCAACTCTATGATGAACCAGAAATACGAATTATATTGCTTTAATATGCCAACCGAACTGATTCTGTAGTATCTAGTCACGCCCGATTAATTTAGAATGCATCCGATTGATATTTAACGTGTAAATAACGAACAAAAAGAAGACCAAAAAAAAATCTCCGGGCGTAATTCCCCTCTCATAAAATTTGCGAACGTAGAACCAAGGTGGAACAACAATCAAAAAATTCCGAGGGTGTTTTCCACGGCACATCACCAGTGTTGGCAGTATAATGTTTTCTTATCAATTTCACGACAAAAAACTTTTTATGGGGTTTTTAATAATGCATTAATGATGATAGATTATACTATTAACTGTATGTCAAGACAGTAAAATCATCAAGAAAATGGAAAGCAGGTTAATAGGATTAATGTTTAGGTCATCACAATTCGGAGGCGATTTTCTCGATATGGTGATTTTGGAAATCTGCCCTATTCGAATGTTAGTCTAGAATACTACTCGATAGTGATGTGTTTTCATTTACGTCTATTAAGAATACCACGTCCGAGGGGTGTTTAAATGTATTTTTTATTATGATAAATCAGCACCGTAGAATGGTGATGTTCATCGTTTTGTTATAACTACTTCGTTTCATTTGGCTGGAAATATGAAATCAAACGAAAAGAAAACATTTTAAAAATAAAATTGAATTTAACAATTGACTAAACCCATCATAGAGTTCAAGAAATAATCGCTGCATTTTATTAATATACATGCACGTGAAATCGTTACAAGATGCTATGGAGCTGCAAGACGACCTGGAGACAATTCAAAGGTGGTGTGACATGAATCGTATGCTCGTAAATCCCAGTAAATGTACTGTAGTCACATTTTCGAGAAAGACGACCCAGTTAAACTTCGGCTATTCCTTGAAGGGCACTCAATTGTACAGGGAAAACCAGGTTAATGATTAAGGAGTGATTCTTGACGAAAAACTCACGTTCAAGCCGCATTTGTCGTACGTACCTTGGCTTCATTTTTCGGGTAACAAAAACGTTCCAAGATGTATGCTGTCTGAAATCACTATATTGCTCCCTGGTACGAACGACATTTGAATATGCTTTTCCAGTCCAAACTATGCTACAATATGTATTCTAATATAGACCTTACTTAATAAATGTTCAATGTGTTTATTGTATACGGATCGTGGAAATTGTAGCAGAAACGTTTTATGAAACCAAGCATGTTGTTAGCTCTATTAATAATTGTGTTATAATGATCGGTGAAAGTAAGCTTAAAGGCTAAGATAACAATTAGATCACTGACTCTATCACACTTTTTTATGTTTTGGTTTCCTAAAGTAATTGATATACCGGTTATGTTTCGTTTTCTACTAAAGGTAATTAAGTTACATTTTTTAACATTCAATTGTAGCAGGCTTTTGTGACACCGAGTGTTGTTGCAGCAGTGGATTCTGTTTTCGGACCTCTTCGAGTCAAACTCGTTATTGTTGTTGTGAGTTAGCTTTAAGCTGAAATTCAATTTTATGTTTTACTTTTTTGTTGATAAATTTTACATTCTTAGGTTAACCTACAATTATTGTCCTCTACTTTAGTGAATCCACCGTACTTAAACAGCTTTTTGTTCCGATTTGTGTATAGTAGGTTCTATTAATTATTTTAGCACAAATTCAGGAAATTTTAATGCACAAGTCGTAATTATCTCTTGTCACTGTTTACTATTGAATACAATTGAGCGGCCCTATCGGAATAAATTTTACCTTTCTCTGCCCTATCGGAGTAAACGCTTCGCAAGTCACTCATCTACGTCCCTTTGGTAACTTTTCGCAGGTGGTGCTGAACGTGCTGATCCGTGGTGCCAACATGCCCCCGACCGTATTGCTTCAAGTGCTCTTAAGCTATACTTCCTTCTCTGGCTACATCCAGGATAGCGAGCTTCGTTGCCGGTCGGCGCATGATACCCGCTGAGGTCTGAACATCCGCGCTGCGGACTCGTCCATCTCGCCCAGGATACACCCGAGTGACTCTTCCTCTGATCCAGCTGTTCCTTACACTCTCGTTCACAACGACAACCAAATCTCCAATGTTGATTGAAGTGACCTCTCCAAACCACTTTGGTTGTCGGGAGATGACAGGCAGGTATTCCCTGATCCACCGCACCCAAAAGCGATCCAGCATTACCTGAACCTGCTTCCAGTTCAACCGCAATGCCATATTCTCCTCGATTGGCTGAACCGCCGTTGAACCACTCCGCTTGAACTCAACAGTAGAAAGTGGTTCGGTGTCAAGGCTGTGCATTCCTCGCTGTCGATTGGTAGATAGGTTAAGGGTCGCGAGTTCACCATGGATTCCACCTCTGCTAGAGCAGTTACCAAGGTCTCCTCATTCGGATTCTTTGACAACTCCATGTATGCCAGTCCAGTCTTGACTGAGCGCACCAGCCTTTCCCATATGCCTCCCATATGGGGTGCGTAAGGAGGGTTGAGCTTCCACTGCGTGTCTACGTTTGTGAACGTCCCCGCTAGATCCCGATTGATGGCACCGATTTGCTGCCTTAGCTCCGTACTAGCACCTTGGAAATTGGTGCCTTGATCTGAGTAGATTTCCTGTGGCGCACCTCGGCGGGCAATGAACCTACGTATTGCCATCTTGCAGAATTCGGAAGACAGAGTGTAGGCGACTTCTAAGTGGACTGCTCGGGTTCCTAGGCAGGTGAAGAGCGCAACCCACCTTTTAACACCACCACGGCCAAAGCGAACAGTGATCGGACCGAAATAGTCCAGTCCCGTAAAGGTGAAAGCCCTGACATACGGCGTAAGGCGAGCCGAAGGCAGTGGAGCCATCGGTGGGACTTGTGGTTTCGATTTGTAGACTCTACACCAGTTACAGCAACTTGCCACCTTCTTGACGGCTGTTCGCAGTTCTGAGACGTGGAACTTCTGCCGCATTTCGTTCACCACCGTTTCGTTGTTCGCGTGTCTATACTTCTTATGATACCAGTTAATCACTAGCTGCGTGACGTAGTGATCCTTCGGCAAGATCACGGGAAACTTGGCTTCATCTGAAACGCACTCCGCGGCAGCGATGCGTGATCCCATTCGCATGACTCCGGTTGGGTCTAGAAACGGAGATAGTTTGAATATCCGACTGCTCTTCTGGATTCGCTTACGTTGCTCTAGCTGCACTTGGTGATTTTTTCGCAGAATTTTGCATTCGTCCGGGTATTCACTCGCTTGGATCAGCTTAAACACGGTTGACTCCGCTAGTTTACACTCCTCACTGCTCAAGGTTACTTCTCCGTCCTTCTTTAATTCGTCCTTGCCCTTCTGCCTGCAGCCAAACCGTAGAACGAATGCTACTGTGCGGGTTAACCTTTCCCACTTTGAAAACCGTTTGAACTCGATGACTGGCTGCGTCGGTGGCAGCTGGTGCACATGGACCATCCTTAATTCTTCGGCTGTTGTCAACTCTACCGCTTCCTCTGGCCAGCTACACTCCGGCTTATACAGGAACTCTGGGGCCTTGAACCACCTGCTCTGTTCTTCGAAACATGGTCCATGACCCCACTTGGTGGCTTCATCGGCTACGTTCATTCTCGTGGGCACCTTCTTCCAATCGCTGACCTCCGTTTCATCCAGAATTTCTGTTACCCGGAACGCTACATACTGCTTGTACTTTCGCGGGTCTGACCGAAGCCAGTTCAAGACCGTGGAAGAATCGCTCCACAATACTTTGCGCTTGATCTGCAACGTGTGATTTGCTATGATGGACTTCATAAGTCGTGTTCCAATTACGGCTGCTTGTAGCTCCAACCGTGGCACTGAAAGGAACTTAATCTGCGCCACCTTGGTTTTTGCAGACACGAGACTGCAGCGTATTTTACCGCCATCTACTATCCGGAAGTAGGCTGCGGCGGCGTATGCAGTACTGCTAGCATCAACGAAAACGTGCAATTCGAGCTAATCGTAGGCTCCAGCGCTGTAGCGGGGAAAGTAGCATCTGGGTATCTTCACCATATCCAGTGTTCCAAGTAATTTTACATACTTTTCCCACCGGGGTACGATATCTGCAGGTAGCGGCTCATCCCAGCCAATTCCGGATCGCCACGCTTTCTGAACTATCGTCTTTCCATGAACTACGAAGGGAGCGATCATCCCTAATGGATCGAACACACTCATGACTAAGCTCAGGACTTGGCGTTTGGTCAGCACAACGGATCCATCCATTAGACGTTGCAGATCCTCCCGGAAAGTCATCGAGAATACGAAGACATCCTCTTGTGGTCGCCACACCATCCCCAATACCCGTTCCAGGTTGCTACCCTTGTCCATGGTGAAACTCCTCACCGACTTCGTGTTCTTCTCCCCAATCCGCTGCAGCACCTCTGGAGAGTTCGACATTCAATGCCGAATAAGGAATCCTGCTTTTTCGTGCACTTCCTTAACGTCCAATGCCAGCTGAACTGCTTCTTCGACAGAATCAACGCTGTCAAGGTAATCGTCTACATAGTGATTTTTCTTTATCGCCTCCGACGCCTCCGGGAATTCCGCAGCATACTCATCCGCATTCAGGTTCTTTACAAATTGCGTTGAACTAGGAGAACACGTTGATCCGAAAATTGCGACGTCCATGACGTATACTTGAAACGGATCGGATGGATTGTCCCGCCACAGGAACCACTGAGCTGTACGATCTTGGAGTATGATGAGTACTTGATGGAACATTTCCATTATGTCTCCGCTGATGGCGGTCTCCCTCTGTCGATAACGACATAAGACTGCTTGCAATGCTGTCAGCAGGTCAGGTCCTTTTAGAAGAACGGAGTTCAAGCAAATGCCTTCCACCGATGCAGCGGCATCCCAGACGATCCTAACTTTATCGGGCTTTTTGGGATTCACTACGACACCCAGAGGTAAAAACCACGTCCGCTTCGGATCCATCTCATCCAGTTCACGTGGAGTTGCCTTGTGTGCATAGCCCTTAGATACGTAGTCTGCGATTTTCTGCCTAACGTTGTCGTACAAGGTTGGTGATTTATGAAGACGACGTTCTAAACACTTCAGTCTCTGCTCGGCCATGGACCTACTGTTGGGAAACTCAACGTTGTCGAACTTCCACAGAAGTCCGGTTTCGAATCTGCCGGTTTCAGTCCTGGTTGTGGTTGCTTGTAGAATCTCTTTAGCTCGCTTGTCGTCTGCTGATTCCTTCGCCTGTGTCACCGAAACCCCAACGCTCTCCATAGAGAAGAAACTCTTCACTAGCTCGTGTAATTCGTTGTCTTGGGACTTGGTACGAATATGAAGAACTCGCTGTGATAAACTTCTGACTTCATTTCCAGAGTGACCATATAAAACCCAGCCTAGCCTAGTTTTGGCGACTACTGGCTCGTGTTCACGGCCCTCTCGCAACTTTAGCGTTGTCTTCAACCTTGTGTTGTCCAAACCTATCAGGATACCTGGAACAGCGTCGTTGTAGCTTCGAACAGGTAAACCTCTCATGTACGGATATTTGTTCCTCAGCTCTTCAAAATGTATAGACTGTCGCGGTAGTTCTAGCCCATCGATGGTTTGCACTTTTCGTAGGGTGAACTGCTTGTCTGTGGTAACTCCGGAAATATTCAGCTGAATTTGCTGGGATTCTTCTTCCACACGCTTGACCCCGTTAGTCCACTGCATACACAGAGGAGAAGTCGGACCTTGTACACCCAACTGCTCTGCCAAAGACCGCTCCATTAAAGTAGAATCGGAACCACCATCCAGGAAAGCGAAGGTTTGAACCGATCGACCATTAGCGTGAAGAACTACAGCGACAATACGGAAGAGAATTTGGTGATGTTGCTGATGAACGGAGATTACGCCAGAAACCGGAGTCGAACCCTCTGCTTTGCCTTCTCGTGGATCGCCCGGATGGAGCAATCGGTGATGGTGTTGTTGGCAACCGTTGACCCCGCAGTTTGATGCTTTGCACGGCCATTTACCATGCGGATACAAGCAGCGTCCACACAGATGAACTTCTTGGGCCACCTTCCATTTGTCTTCCAACGTCTTCGACTTGAAGCTACTGCAATCTTTTGGTTTATGGCTGGCTGTTTGACAAACCACACAAGGACGTTCGCTTCCCGTTTGGATGGAAGCTTCTGGTTTCTTGTTGGTTGCCTTGTCGTTCCGGACGTTCACCGTGTGTATCTAGGCTTTCCCTTTCGACTTTTCGGATTTGACAGTGACTGGTGTAACACTACTAGCTGCCGTTACGATCACGTTCATGTAATCCGAAAATGTCCTCAAGTCCACGTTCTGCACTCGTTGCTTATGCATCGCCCAATCCAGCTTAATGTTGGCTGGAAGCTTTTCGACTAGCTCATCGATCAAGATCGGGTTAGTCAAATGTACCTGTTGTCCAGTCGAAACTAGATGTGTACAGAAATTGCGAACAGCCAGGCCGAAACTGATTATAGTCCCCAGTTTTTCTGGTCGCGGTGTCGGTGTTGCTCGCACCTCAGCCAGAAGAGAGTTGATGATTGCTTCCGGTCGTCCATAGAGAACTCGCAACGTGTTGATTATCTCCGGAACGTTTGACGGATGAAGAAGAAAACTGCTCACTGCTTTCTTCGCGTCCCCTTTCAAGCTTCGTTGTAGTCGCATAAGGTTCTCCGAATCGTTGTACCCACACATCTGCGTGGACGTATCATAGCTGCTCCAGAACATCGGCCACTCTGTTGGATCCCCAGTAAAACACGGAAGGTCTTTGGGAACAACGTGGCGTGCTGCCAACTGCTGCGCATTCGGGCCGTACGATGGCTGAAACACCCCATACTGCAACTGTGGGTTTGGTACAGCTGGTATAGGTGTTTGATAACTCGAGACACTCACTACAGGAGGACGAAGTGGCGGTCGAGAATTACCCCATGTTTGCGAAAGCATTGGTACGGTTTGTGTGTGAGAAGCAGCGAAAGGAGCATTTTGTGACACCAGAGGATTTGAAAAACTTAAAGGCTGGTTCCTATTTAAGAAATAGCTATCGGAATCTAAGTGCGATACGTTTCTAGGTATTTCGGAGTGCCCTAACTGCCCTAGTGTTGGCTGGAAAGTATGTGATGGTTGGACATAGTTTTGATTGGTTGGTTCTACAGCTCTTCTTGTGAAAACTTCTGAGCTGGTAGAACTCACCATGTTCGAAGTAGGTACTACATACGGATTGTACTGACCAACTCGAGGATCCATCCAATAAGGTCTGTCCTCTCGTGGTTGATTGTGTCCGCCATATGATACCGGTACAGGAATCTGAGGAAACAATTAATTAATTAATTTAGCTTTATTTAGGAGGCTTTCAGCCTTAGGCTGGTTCGCCTCCAAAACATCTGAGGAAACATCGTACTGCCACCGACTGTTGTTCCTAAATCCGGAACCAGCTGGTTGACTGCAGGCGGAATCAGATTGGTATTCGCCTGCCACGTTAATGTCGGCTGCACAGTTGGAATACTCGTCAGCGACACAGGTGCTGCCCGGGGCGTTGATTGAAGCAATGTTGGAAGTGATAGGGCTGGATCTGCTACACTAGTGAAACCTCCCTGGTGTACAGTCGCAATAGGTGAGATGACGTCATCAAAGTTTTTCGAAAACACACCTTGTGTGCTAACCTGTTTCGATCCCGCTTCTTGGCTGGTAACTGCTGAAACTGGAACTACATTCGAGCTGTTTTGCGCTGTGCTTGCTACCGGCATCGATTCCGTTGGTAGGATGTGGCCACCCACTTGCGATGTGAGCCCAGTGGAAATAACTTTTCCAGATTTGGCACTCAGGATCACTTGGTGGTTGTCAATCCAGCATCGAACTTTATCGACGCTATCGGCTGCACTGTCACCGCTACACATACTCGCTCTTGAATTTGCCTTAGCATCCTCATCCAATCGCGCGTGAAGCAACTTGAATTTCCGTTCCAGGAACTCCTTCTCCAGTTTCATCAGATCCTCCAGCATCTTTTCCCTCCTGTCCTTTTCCAATTGCAAAGCCTTTTCCTGCATCTCCTGGTCGTGTTTCGCCTTTTCTGCCATCAGCTTGGCTTGAAGTTCTTTTTCCTCGGCCAATTGCTGCATTTCCAATTTAAGTTTTGCCTCTCTTGCACTTGCAGTCGTCGATGGTGTTGATCCTACTAACGACGGTGCACGGGAACCCCTTGGCCGGCATAACACACATTGGTAGCTTTGGTCATCAGCCTCGATGCTATCACCTACACCAGCGCACGAAAAGTGGTACCATCGGCTGCATCCATCGCACTGGACCACCTTCGCATCCGCCGTATTCGGTCGCTTGCATAAAATGCATTGAGCATCGGCTGGGACTTCATCCAGCATGTTGGCACCACGGATCAGCACGTTCAGCACCACCCGCGAAAAGTTACCAAAGGGACGTAGATGAGTGACTTGCGAAGCGTTTACTCCGATAGGGCAGAGAAAGGTAAAATTTATTCCGATAGGGCCACTCAATTGTATTCAATAGTAAACAGTGACAAGAGATAATTACGACTTGTGCATTGAAATTTCCTGAATTTGTGCTAAAATAATTAATAGAACCTACTATACACAAATCGGAACAAAAAGCTGTTTAAGTACGGTGGATTCACTAAAGTAGAGGACAATAATTGTAGGTTAACCTAAGAATGTAAAATTTATCAACAAAACAGTAAAACATAAAATTGAATTTTAGCTTAAAGCTAACTCACAACAACAATAACGAGTTTGACTCGAAGAGGTCCGAAAACAGAATCCACTGCTGCAACAACAAACTTTAAGAATTATTGTCCTCTACTTTAGTGAATCCACCGTACTTAAACAGCTTTTTGTTCCGATTTGTGTATAGTAGGTTCTATTAATTATTTTAGCACAAATTCAGGAAATTTCAATGCACAAGTCGTAATTATCTCTTGTCACTGTTTACTATTGAATACAATTGAGCGGCCCTATCGGAATAAATTTTACCTTTCTCTGCCCTATCGGAGTAAACGCTTCGCAAGTCACTCATCTACGTCCCTTTGGTAACTTTTCGCGGGTGGTGCTGAACGTGCTGATCCGTGGTGCCAACACCGAGTATGGAATATCTTTATTTCCTTTTTGAATGTGTTAATGTCTTCGGCATCTTTGACTTCTAAAAAAGTTTAATGTCGTCAGTATCAGGGAAGTGGCACCCCTATCTCTACTAATAACAAGTAGCCATAGCGAGCATAACCGCGGGCCCACGCTTGGCCTAGCTTTGATTGCTTTGTTTTTAATTTTTCTACGCTGCCTACGAAAAGATGACGACGTGCCAGTCCCTTGGTCAGCATAGATTAAAACTTT